GAATGTGTACATTGTTACACTATTACTGGAGTTAATTTCATCAATTTCAGACTCGTGAAGATCCGGGTTAGAAGTGATCTTCAGTAACCCATGCTTGTTGTAAGAGGCGACTAACGGGATGGGTGGTCAGGCTCGCCGACTTGGTTGACACATGTCATCATATCCAAGTTGGGCAGATCGATGCTCCTACTATTGATCACTGGATTGTCTGGTCCAGACTCGATTATTCACACAGGTTGACGGTTGACTTGACTGACCGTGAAAGTTTGCTTACTGACATGGATTGGACAATGATGAACACTTATCTCGTTCAGATGTGTCAACGAGAAAGTACCTCTTTCAAGCTATTTACACGGGCTCAGACTACCCTGCTCAACACTAAAAGCAACAGAGCAAAACTTAAAATATCAGAGTATGTGTTAACACCGTCACAGACATATGCAAAGCAAAGTAAGTTGGTCATTTTGAAAATCACGGGTGTATATGGTACAGTCAAAATAGGTTTTGCATCGGGCATCACATATCCCAAAGGACCGCCTCCGTGGTGTAGTGGTTAGAGCGTCCGCCCGAGAGCGGAAGGTCGCGGGTCTGATCCCCGACCGCGTCATACCAAAAGACGTTAAAATATGGTACTTGTTGGTCCCCGCCTGGCGCTCAGCATTAATGGGTACAACAAGGACTGGTCGGCTCGGAGTCAGTATAATGTGTCTGAGTGGGGTATTCATGCTTCACTGCGGCATGGTATCTCAGTGGGCTAACACTATAAAACCAGCTTCAGTCTGGGCTAGTACAAGCAGCCGCACATACACATACACACGCATGCACGTCGTCATATGAGCGAAATATTCTCAAGCACGACGTTTAACCCAATTTCACCTCACCTCACCTGCGGGATCATGAAAGATAAAATGTCAGTACAACGTGTAATTATTGGACAATTCTGTAATAACCTGCAATTATTGATTTATTTGTATTATACAGTTGTGCTTTACTGTGTTTAAATCATTTACACATGACTCGGTTATATACAGTCCGCCACCATATGGCTGGAATATTGCTGAGTGCGGTCAAAGAACAAATAATTAAACAAAACATGCCACGTTTATGCTTAGTTGACCTAAGCACATCGCTTTGCAATCCTCATATCAGGTACATTCAGGCTAAACTCACTCATTCACGTGACAAGGACGTAATAGTATCGAAGCGACTGTAACGGCTTATGAATGCAGTAACATGTGGGACCCGTGAAGATCCGGGTAGAATAGGTCTTCAGCAACCCATGCTTGGCATAAAAGGCGACTATGCTTGTCGTAAGAGGCAACTAACGGGATCGGGTGGTCAGGCTCGCTGACTTGGTTGACATTCCATCGGTTCCCAATTGCGCAGATCGATGCTCATGCTGTTGATCACTGGATTGTCTGTCCAGACTCGATTATTTACAGACCGCCGCCATATAGCTGGAATATTGCTGAATGAGGCGTAAAACTAAACTCACTCACTCACCAGTAACATGTGGTTTCATATAGTACTAATTTTGGGTCCACAAACATATGTAACATCTGGATTGAGAAGACTTGAATTGGAGTGCGAACCTACTAAAACAATTGACAAAATATCTTAACGTTCGCAAACGCTTTATTATGGTTGATACAATCATTCACTATAATAATTATATATGCCTGTTCAGCATATAAAATGCTGGATACAATAATAATTTCACTTGATACAAATGTTCACGATAACACTGACAGTCATGTAGGACATATAGTAGCCTGTCCAGTAATACTGAGAGTATGGTTTTACTGCGCGTGACACCAGAAATAGGCTTCACACATCGTAACCATGTCGGGAATCGAACCCGGTCTTTGGCATGACGAGCGAACGCTTTAACCACAATTCAACCCCCACACGCGACCAAACCCTTAGTTCCATAATGCCCATCCTACGATTCAGGCTGTGATAAACGTATTCATCAATCAGTAGTTCTGACAGGTGTCCAGTAAAGCGACAGATCATTCATCATGAATGGAACTAGGATAAACCGACAAGCTATATTTACAAGTCTATGTTGGGAAGTAATGTGTTGTCGTGAGCAGGAACTAGAAGAACCAGGTGACATTTCACACAATCCTTGAATGTAAAACCTAAAGATAAGATTTGAGTCGGTTACAAATTGAGTCGGTTCCCTTGTTTAATGTTCGGGTTTGTTTGGACCAAGACCGTGCATGTGTACGTCAGTCTGGGTGGCTCGGATTCAAACTCAGGGTAGGTGCAATGTGGTTATGCATAATGTGCAAAGTATGTTATATTGAAAACACATTGCCATATGCAAATCAACATGACGGTACGTATGCTGTTTGTTTTATCAGTCTTAAAGTGACTTAAAGTGGCGCTATTGAGCCTTCTGGTCGGTTGTGTCTTCGGAATATCACGATGTCATTTGGGAATGTGTACATTGTTACACTATTACTGGAGTTAATTTCATCAATTTCAGACTCGTGAAGATCCGGGTTAGAAGTGATCTTCAGTAACCCATGCTTGTTGTAAGAGGCGACTAACGGGATGGGTGGTCAGGCTCGCCGACTTGGTTGACACATGTCATCATATCCAAGTTGGGCAGATCGATGCTCCTACTATTGATCACTGGATTGTCTGGTCCAGACTCGATTATTCACACAGGTTGACGGTTGACTTGACTGACCGTGAAAGTTTGCTTACTGACATGGATTGGACAATGATGAACACTTATCTCGTTCAGATGTGTCAACGAGAAAGTACCTCTTTCAAGCTATTTACACGGGCTCAGACTACCCTGCTCAACACTAAAAGCAACAGAGCAAAACTTAAAATATCAGAGTATGTGTTAACACCGTCACAGACATATGCAAAGCAAGTAAGTTGGTCATTTTGAAAATCACGGGTGTATATGGTACAAGTCAAAATAGGTTTTGCATCGGGCATCACATATCCCAAAGGACCGCCTCCGGGGTGTAGTGGTTAGAGCGTCCGCCCGGAGTGCGGAAGGTCGCGGGTTCGATCCCCGACCGCGTCATACCAAAAGACTTTAAAATATGGTGCTTGTTGGTCCCTGCCTGGCGCTCAGTATTAATGGGTACAACAAGGACTGGTCGGCTCGGAGTCAGTATAATGTGTCTGAGTTGGGTATTCATGCTTCACTGCGGCATGGTATCTCAGTGGGCTAACACTATAAAACCAGCTTAAGTCTGGGTTAGTACAAGCAGCCGCACATACACATACACGCTCATGCACGTCGTCATATGAGCGAAATATTCTCAAGCACGACGTTAAACCCAATTTCACCTCACCTCACCTCACCTCACATGCAAAGCAAATAAGTTGGTCATTTTAAAAAACACCGGTGTATATGGTACAAGACAAAATAGGTATTGCATCGGGCATCACATATCCCAAATGCGTCAATTCGAAATGACAACCACAGGTTTACTATAAGGTTCTCTGAATGCCTCACCGAGGCCTTGAGTTGAGTGAGTTTAGTTTTGCACCGCTTTTAGCAATATTCCAGCAATATCACGGCGGGTGAAACCAGAAATGGGATCACACATTGTACACATGTGGGGAATCGAACCCGGGTCTTCGGCGTAACACGTTAACCACTAGACTACCCGACCGCCCCTCACCGAGACCTTGAACATTGTAATCTTTAACAAGCAGCTTCGGAGCGAAAGTCGTTTATCCCTCTCTCAACAGTTGTACCTGAACGTTTTGAAGTGTAACGCTAAATGCTGGTCCAGTATATTTCTTGCGGTGGATAAACCGACGGAAGCGTATTTGATGGTTATTGAACAATATCAGATCATCATATATGCCAGCATATCCGATGCCATATTCCATTTGGAAAATATCATTAGTATGACTATAGTATGCCGTGTAAACGTGTGAGTGAGTTTAGTTTTACGCCGCTTTTAGCAATATTCTAGCAATGTCACGGCAGGTAACAGAAATGGGCTTCACATATTGTACCAATGTAGGGAATTGAACCCGCGTTTTCGGCGTGACGAGCGAACGCTTAACCCACTAGGCTACCCCACCTCCCCTGTAAAGATGCGCATAGTGCTGGTTTAGATATAATGCCTGCTGTGTGTAAGGCCATTGATGTTTTTAGAGCTTGTGTTCGCACTATTCCTAGCATAATGTCATCGAGGTACTTTCTGTCAACAGACTAGACGTGAGCCACCCTCTGAAGACTTTGGACAAGGCAAAGTCGAAAATCAGGCATCAGTGGCAATAGTAAGTGGTCACCCTGGATTAAACAGTTAAATGTTTCAATGTTTTAACGTTTATGCCATACGTTTTAATGTAACATGAATATGAAGTTTCTGGAATGTGTACACAAGGAATGACAAATGAGTATAGAAAAGGTCACTATTTGTTACCATGATTCATCCCCTAGTGAATATTGGCCTTCTTTTCAGGAATTAAGATTTTTATCTAACATAGGATACATAAACACCCATGATTCTAAAAACGTTGAATTCTTTGAAATATTCAGTAACATACTCTCATGGTGAATGAAGAAGGTACTATGCCAAACGTTTTCATGTAACATGAAAAAGAGTCAGGAATGTGTAGACAAGGAATGACAAATCAGTATAGAAAAGGTCACTCTTTGGATGGGAAAACGTCAAGAATCAGTGAATATTGGCATTCTTTTCAGGCATTGTATGTTATTAAAACATTCAGACTATGGAATGGGATGAGTTTGCTAAGTTTATTTTTAGATATAGATTGACACGTAAAATAAGTTGATATTGTCAGATGGAAAACTTGCAGGGCTATTAACACAACAGCGCCTGAACTTAATCAATTATGAATTTTTTCTAACATTGAAGTTAACTTGTCTCTTATAAAGTACAAGATCGGTGGAAAATCTAAATGCATCTGAACACAAAACATAACCCTATTTAGTCGTTTATTAACATTTATAATTTATATCGATTTCAGCCATCTATATTGAGCTGATGAAGGGATACTATGATCTGCCGTCCAGTCTCCACTTTACACACAGGTACACAGCACCGGTCACCTTCAGGGCCTACAATGACCAGGAATTGCACGTGGTGAGTCAGGCATATCTTGGAATACCAATACAGGAGCACCCCAAGGTTATGTTCTATGACCGGTATTGTTCACGTTATACACCAACGACTGTACGTGTGACTCCACTGGATCTTACACAGTTACATACGCGGATGACGCCGCAATAACGGGACTAAAACCAGCTCAAACAACCATTGTCTGCTTGAGATGAAGAAGGTTAAGAAAACAAATGAAAAGTTTACAGACTTAAGGCCCCGGAAAACAATGATACAGCCTGTTTACATTGATAATGATATGTTGATATGTTGATGAATACACGTATCTCTAACGAGTTATAGACTTCAAGCAACCTGGAATATAGACATTCAGTGTATGTATGCTGAAGGCCAGTTAAGACACTACTGGTGAGGTAAACTTCGTTCTGTCAATGCAGGTGTCAATGTTTTATCCTGATGTTAACCGCTTTATTCAAAGAGTATAAACGTTCATTTTTCATGCTTGGTATGCAATTCTGTCTCTGGCAAAAATACTAACCAAAAAAAATCATAAAACAATTTAGACACAACTACCGTTTTATCCAGAAAAATATGCAATATTGAATTTGATAATCTAAGTGTACTGTAAGAGGTAAGAGGAACAAAGAAAAAAATGCCTCTGGCAACTCTCATTATCTCAATAAAGAGTACAATCTTCTCCCTTCCGGCAGACGTTTAACGCAACCATTTTGTTAAACTAACAGATCCTGCAGTCTTTTACCTCTTGTAGTAATAAGTTCTTAGATTAGAAGTATAACCTATAGATTATTAAATTGATATAACTGTGTAAGATTATATTTCAAATCTTTTCTCTCATGTTCTGGCGGCATAGACGGGTGGGAAGCGGATCCCAGCGTCCATGTTCCACAAGGTCACGGATAACTCTGTTCTTCAGATGTTGCCACAGAATGCCCGAGGCAAGGTTGGTTGGTTGGTTGCTTGATTTGGTGTTTAACGCCGCAAGGTACTTTGAATATTTAGATATTTTATATATGTGCCATCTATTTATATAACAGGTATTGTCTTTGACCAAACCGTACAAAAGGAACATACATGTGTCGGGGTTGTACAGTCAGGATAAGTTGATCTTTCACATGTAATCTGAACCACAAAAGAAACGTCGCTTTTTAAATCTAATTTAATGCAAGATTTTGTTCTTACAAAATGGTGTTTGTATTATGATTGTATCGTTTTTTAACATGTTTTTCAATCCAAATTGACAGTTATTACCATCATCAATGTGTTTTCTGATGAAAAGCACATCGACCAAAACGCACCTAAAACGGCAGACGTGGTAAAAGGTTCCATATGACATTCGTGAAATGACGGAGGGTAGCCAATCATTTTAATGTTCATGTTAGGACCATCTACCGACTCAGGAGTGGTATCAAGTCACTAACAGCACCCAAGACCACCTTCAGCAACATCACAACGTCCAGACCGACAGGTTTTGCACCACCATCTGCAGGATCGCCTCCCCAGAGCGACGGAAACAGCACGTCAGTCCATTGGAACTCACATCAAACCCATCAGTGCCAATACAGTGCGTCGACGTTTGCGCGGAAGAAACCTCTGCTGTCACAGACCATATCATAGTCCTGTCCCCAGGACTCGCCACCACCAAACCCAACTGCAATGGGCAACTTAGCATGGAAAATTGGCGTTATCGACAATGGAGAACTGTGTCTTTTTCTATGAAAGCCGATATTGTGTTTCGACAGTCGATGGCAGAGTGAGAGTATGTTGAAAGCGTGGGAACTGTTTTCCAATGAGTGTATTGTTGAAAGAGACTCATGGTGTGGGGTGCAGTGGGTCTGAACCAGATAGTTGGCACCGTGGTGTTCCATAATCACTGTCCAGGATGAGGAAATGACGTGACAGCTGCTCGCTATGTTGACCAAGTCATAAGACCCCACGATATACCACATTTTGGACGTTACAGAAATCACATCTTCCAGCAAGACAACGCTCGTGCCCACACTGCCAGAGTATCATTGGACTTCCTAAGACAACATGACATCCAAACCCTACAATAGCCTGCTCTCAGTCCGGATTTGAGTCCAATAGAACACCTTTGGGACGAGCTTCAAAGAAGACTGAATAACCTCAACCCAAGGCCGACAATTGCTGCTGGACTCGATCAGGCATTTCACAGAGTATGGACCTAAGTGCCTATGGCCTTCATCAACCGTCTAATTAATTCCATATACAGACGATGCAACGCTTTCATCTATGTCAATAGATGCCACACGTAATACTTACTTTGGGGTAGCTTAATGGTACCATTTTTGGTGATTTTGTTTGTGTGAACTCTACATATGATTCCCGAAAAAGTATCAACGTTAATTGTCAAGATTGAACTCAAGCCCCCGTTTTGATTGTTAATTAGAGTGAATTATAGAGTGTGCGACATTTCTTTTGTGGTTCAGTTTATATTGTTACTCGTTGACTCGAAAATTGAAGTTTAAATAATTAACCTGAAATCAGTTCGTAAATTAACGAAGCAATTAATTACTGTGTTCTAAACTAAACTAAGTTCATATTTTAATATTACTAGGACAGTACACAATAGAGTGGCAGGACAAATTTAATGGTAATGTAATACACGAGCAGTGGTTATAACAATCAATACAATGATGGTAATATGTACCTCTCAGCAACAGTAATCCAACTTGCAACAACAGCCCAATATATATATACTGTATATATGATCACTACATAAGCTCATTGTAGCTCTTCCCAGATCTTTCTGTCTAAATCTAGTACAAGTCTGTAACACTGGTTATAAAGACAGTGATGTTTGCCTCTCGGCGACAGTTCAACTTACATAAATGACCAGGGTATAATGCTCATTACACACAATACCGGTATTCTGGTAACTTGAGATGCCATGTGAGATAAGAAGCAATAGTCAGCTCCCCCAATATACCCAAGAAATGATTAAAACGTCTGCAATACTCCCTGAAACAGCAGATCCTGTAGTACCTCCCAGAACCTCACTGCCCATTACTAAATATCAAATGTACAAAGTATTAGACTTGGAACATTGTCACACAATGAATATCATTGCCACATAATAGTATCAATGAAAACATATCCTCCTGAGTTTGCGTAATTTAGCATTTCATCCCTTTTTGTTCCTTATTTTCATAATATCTTATAACCTAACAATGTACTTTTACTAGTCTTAAAAGCTTTGTAATAACTTATCAAATAATATCAATCCAGTTGTGTTCACTTTTCCAGAAAATATAATTCGTACGTAATCAATATTCCTTGACGACACGAGCGCACTGACAACTGACAGCATGTACTTCTTTCCCAGGTTCTGCAGGTAAAGCTCTCGGACGCTGGAATATCTGACTATGGCAAAATCACACAATTTGGTTTCTACAGACCAAGATTTCGTGGTTGGAGCTCTTTATCAACGGAAACCCAACACATCTGGCTAGATACCCGAATGAGGTAGGCCTCATCTCACTTTCGTTTAAAAGGTCACTGTCAACGTCTTGGCATGTCATGCCTTGTTGCTCATTCATCCTTCAAACCTTATATGACGTCTTTTACTTTACCTCACACATAACTCCGGTACTCCTTATCATGATCCAATACCCGTGCTTCAAACAGTTCAAAATTAACATGAAGGTGTTCGCTAAAATAAATTCGTTGTTCACTGGTCCCTCGGGGCCCATGGGTAGATGTATCCTCTATGTTTGTTTATGTTCCCCTCGCCCTTCGCCTACAAACATAGAGGGTACATCAACCCATGTCCCCCTCGTGACCAGTGAACAACGTCTTGTGTCACCGGGTCCAGCTTTTCAAGGAATTCGTGTTAATTGAAACTGAAACGAATATTTACCCTGAAGACGATTTTACAGTGATAATGTTTTTGACAAAAACGTAACTGTGCTTCGTATAATGTGGTCATTCTGATCAATGTTCATCATTGCAAAACACATACACTGACAACACACATACGTGGTTACTGAAGACTTGCGTGAAGCTTAACAACTCCGTTAACAATGAACAATGTCAATATCGGGCGTCTTCATCATTTGCGTTGATGAAGGCCTGACTGAAGACACGATGCCCAGATGTTCCAATACTGTGCCGGTGCCGGTGAACATAATATTCTCTGTTGGGGAAACAACCGACCATGCCATTGCAGCTGTATCAAGCTGTTTCAGAACGTCTGCTACAATATTTATAACGTGGTATCAGGAATTACTCTGTTTCATCGTTACTTTTGCACCTATTCGGTGCATGTTGTTCAGGAAGCATACAACATCTCACTGAGAATGAGTTCTTCTGTACAATTGCACTTCTACCTTCTCACAGAAGACGTCGAGTAACCGAAGCGTCGCTAAAATGGATGCATGTTGACCCTTACGAGACTGTCCAATGAACCTTTCACTCACCTGTAAAATGCATACTGCCTTGTCCAGTCTTGTCGCCGCAGCCACCGATGCTGTCAGACCCTGCACTACCTCAGTTGGCTGCATACGGAACGGCCATTCTATTCTCAACCCAGGAATTGTTCGAACTGTCAATGATATCGAATGTCCCTCTGGTTGACGTGATGTCAAACGTGGACGACCAAACCTTGGCAAGTAATAAGTGTTGCCCTGATGTAGTTACACCTGTGAAGATCCGGATTAGAATTGATCTTCAGCAGCCCATGCTTATCGTAAGAGGCGACTAACGGGATCGGGTGGTCAGGCTCGCTGACTGGGTTGACACATGTCATCGGTTCCCCATTGCGTAGATCGATGTTCATGCGGTTGATCCATGGATTGCCTGGTCCAGATCCGATTATTTACAGAGCGCCGCCATATAGCTGGAATATTGCTGAACTCACTCACTCACTCTAAAGAGATACTATTTTTTCATGGAACATTCACATCCATAAACGTCATATCCAAAGCGAGCGCACGTTGATCCGCAGCAAGCCGTGGTATTGGATTATCATTACTTATGTTAAAACGAAATTGCTTTATGGGTACCTGATAGCTATAAACAAACACTTTGTGTTGTTCACATCATCCAACCGTATGAGCAGCATGCCACCAGCAAACATACAAACAACATTGAAGGTCGTGCGTTAATATTCCCATACAAATTGTGAATCACGTCATGGAGATATACTGAACACAAAACGCCCGTGATAAAGAACACCCAGTCCTTATCATTGTTAGAAACAAACTCCTTCGGTGTAAAAGGAAACTAGCAGTGAAAAATATACGAATGGATCAACGATGAACTGCGGTATTCGAATTCATATCAAATGTGTTTAAGTGATTTGAATTTTTCATCATATGTTTACCTTCCTCCGTCTGTATATGCTGTACATGTTTTGATTATGGAGGAATCATGATCCCCGAAACGGGCGTTATCGCCAGCCTCATTTCTTATGTTTCAGTCTAGCTATTGTTTTGTTGTTGACCAATATACATAGCCGCGCCGTTGCGCGCTGTCGTTGTGTTCCCGGCTTAACAATGAGGTCTGCTTTATCCCAGTCAGTCAGTCTCATTATATGTGCTTGGAAAGATTAGGCAATATTAAAAAATGAATACTGTTGGTAAACAATGGTATTTATCGATATAAGAATATGTGAGGAGGATTCTATGTGAGCATCCCCATGTTAAATACACGATCACGATGAATTGAAACATTCTGTACAATGACGTCGTCGTTCCTGAAACTTGAATTTGAGCGCAATGCTATCATTTCCTTATTGAGTACAAGTGTTAACCGAACAACACGCGTCATGCTGCCATGTTTGACATGGTGACTTGCAGGGGTATATAGACGTCACCGCGGTCAGCAGCAAGACCGGCACCACCTTCACACACGGCTCCAGAGAGGATGCACGATGGAAACATGAGAAGGAACCTTTGGCCATTGGATACTGGTAGGAAGAAACTTTTTGTCGACATGTACCAAAATTTCCGGAAAGCATTATTACTGAAACAGTTCTAAAAAACGTCATGCCATAATAGTAAACTATTCAACATCCATTCAATTTGAATGTTAGAAATTTTTAAATGTATTTAATTTTCAAGAAACTTCTTTAAAACAGTGTAGCATTTATTTTGTTGCAACTTGCTGTGTGTTCCACCACTTTGGGCTCTCATGTCTGACCTTAATGTCTGTTACACCTAGTCTGTGAAATTGTCCATTCCATGAAATGAACAGCTCACTTGTCCATTTCATGAGTTTTAAAATCGTATTCACATTGCTAATGCTCACGACAGGCATGCGATTATTTCATTTTTTCACATTATGTATATATGCAGTTATATGTAATTACTTTCTTAACAGGTACTGGAGCTTGGCTGATGACGCTGTGAAAATATCGAAAATAGACGCACAGAAACACCAGATCACCCTGGCAGCCCAAACCCGATATGGACTGCGAATTGGTGCGACTGTATAATTTCGCAATTGTCTGTCTTCATATCAGTTTATCCCTTGATATCCGGGTTAGATCTATGCTCATGATGTCAGTCACTGGATTGTCCTGTTCAGACCCACGAACTGTATTTTTCTGAGTCCATGATTAAGTGAGAAACAAACACATCAGTATCATTCCTATCATTAATATATCATATTAATAACAATACTGTTAAAAACAGACAGAACATATCCGACAGTTCTATTCTAAATGATATTTCTCCTGGTCATTGGGGCAGTGGGGTAGCCTAGTGGTGAAAGCGTCCGTCCGTCACGACGAAGCCCCGGGTTTGATTCCCCACTTGGGTAAAATGTGTGAACCCATTTCTGGTGTCTTCCGCCGTGATATTGCTGGGGAATGTCGCTAAACGCGGCGTAAAACACAACTCACTCACTCACTCACTCACTACAGTAACTGGTTGTTGATCTCATCATAACATAACCTCATTAGGTAACCGCCTTCAAAAAACAACTGAACGGATGGTTAGATATAAAGAAATACCAAAAGAAATCCTCACATAACTGGCGAAGACTCTATTCCGGTTTTGCTTATAGCGGATATATGACTTGAGTTCCACAATTTCAGGCCACTACAATGATGCTAAACTTCAAGGTTTCTCTAACCAGGGCGGCTACTTCCGGGTGTTTAATATGTTGTCAGAACTAGATCAGCCGGTGAGAGTTAACGTTCATTCATCACCACTCACTCACCCTGTCAGAAACTTGCATCCCGTGAAGATGTGGGTTAACATTGGTCTTTAACAGCCCATGCTTGACGAAAGAGGCGATTAAGGGGAATCGGTGGTCAGGTTCACTGCCTTGATTCACACATGTCAGCGTATCTCAATTGCGCAGATCGATGCAACAAGCATCTTACCCCTATCGATGAGAGTTAAGTGTAAAAATACAACAAACCATTCGGAATGCGAGTATGACTTCATGTTCTTCACTCAAAGAACTTTTCAGGAATAATTCTTTTATTTAACCAGAGTTCTTGTATCTACAAATGTACCCAAGGTACAATTAGTTGTGTTCATTCATATACCATACTAACTTGTATGTGTCCGATGCGTCTAATTTGATCTTCAATCTGTATGGAGCATTTTCCTTGTTTGTTATTAGGCAGGTATGTTGGAAGTAGTCCCACGGTTGCAATTGACAGTCTTTTAATCTTTGCCCTTTTTCGCTTAGCCGGAACCCAGTTGCGAAAATGGCCACGCGAGGGAAACGAGTCGCTACTCTGCGAAAGCGTAAACGTTAAACGTTGATACCATGATAGTGTTCAGTGTATGGACTGTTAGTATCGTGTATGTACATTGACTGTACGTGTGTACGCGTTAAAACCCTTGCCTATGATCTAACACAGGTAGCAACAATTCACGGTGAACGTGTGGCAGACATTTCCAAATTTGACACAAACCAGTGACAGAAATGTTTTTGAGGCAAGCAACAATTTTCACTTGTACCTATGACACTGCGGATTTTTTCCTGTGTACAATTGGCTTGTCTTTGCATGTATTTGTAACGGGGGGGCCAACATTTACACCCAACATTTCGCGTATCATCACTATGTGATCGTGATCCACAGACTTGTCGGAATTTTATGGACCCTTCTTGCAGCAAATGTCAGTGATGATATATATGAATTATGTCTGAACTGATTACACGCCAATCCCTCCTGATGTCTGCTTCAGGGAGAAGTCTACCTAGACCGGTCTACTGGTATCCTGTACGTGTGGCCCAACATCCCACACGGCACCCTGGCCCACTCTGATGTCATCTACGCCTCCATGGTCACAGACTGTGTGAAGTGAGTTTAAGTTATACTTGACATACGCCAGGACCAAGCGAACATTGTTGATACATGTGACATACGTACTCGCAAAGCGCTTTGCTTCTTGCGCTATATAAGTTCTTAGTTGATGATGATGATAATGATGACGATGATGATGATGCATTGAATCTTTAGAAACCGTTGAACAGTAGTTTTCAGGAACATGTATATGCAAGTTAATATGATAATGTAAACGTTTGCAAGGTCAATTCCTATTTTGACAAGGTCAAGGTCCTAGTCGTTATTGCCCCCCCCCCCCAAAAAAAAAAGAAAAGAAAAAAAGGCATGGTGGCTTGGATCTCTGGGATCTTCATTTCGATCGAATATAGATACAGAACGTCAGTGTAAAGGAATGCCCAGTTTTGATTATCGTCAAACCAAAATCCGTTTAATATAAACAAGGGTTAGCAGATATGTGACAGTATGTTCCTTTCAAAATCGACAGGTCAACATGTGATTTTGTTTGCAAAACCTCTCTGACCAGATCAGCTGTTGTGGCATGTTTCAAAGCAAGATATGAAAAAAAACAAGAACGACAATGTTTTGGACAGCATTGCAACCGAAATATTCGTTTATGTTATATTAGTAACCAGGGGCATTATAATTGTATAATGATTAATATGCCATGCAATGACTATTATGCGTATTCCTTTCCTTTAAGTAGTAAATATTACTATATGTGACACCATATGTTATATACTATTTTTTTAATGTAGATTTGTAATGCAAAATTAATGTTCATACGAGGGTCGGTCAAAAGTAGTCGGCCTTACTATATTTTCGATGTCCAATGTTTGAAAAGCTTCCATTTTAGTTTGTAGGAATCATTAGCAAAGCCGTATAAAAAAATTCACATACGTGGGTAATGTGATTAACGAGATATTAGTCATCACAACACATTGAGGTATAATATTTCTAGCAAAAATGCAGAAAATGAAAAACGATCCGTCCTTTAGTACCTCTTGGATAATGGTATGCCCTCAGATAATGTCATATAAAATATGTTAGTATAATCTTGGATGACTTCCCGTCATAATCAATAGTCAAAGCTTTGGATTGCTTGATTCACATTTAGTCGGGGGCTGTTTCTTTTAAGGAAGCCCCCATTTTAGTCTTTCAAAAGCATTGTGTCCAGATATTCAAGCTGGCCCTGTTTACAATATACTGAGAGTTGACACTTGTGTGACCATTCAGTATTTACTTTGAACCTTTAGCATCATGTGTGAAAAAGTGAAAACATTAGAATAAGTTATGTCCTTATGATTTCGTCGTCTGACAAGGGTGGGTAGTGTCTCCAAAACAACCTGTTTCAGTAAACATGAAGCGGGAATCACTTTAACAAGCGATTGTACTTTCAAATTGCTTTTTTATGCACTTTCATATCTAAGTTTGATTCTAGCGGACGTCTACCTATCTCAAACACACAAAATGTTTCTTGCATATTTTGTTACCTGAAGTTTGTGGTGCATTTATTGCAGATTTTGCGCTTTTGGGGGGTACCAAGATAACATTTCAAACAAAATGGGGATCGTAAGGCTGGAACGTAGCAAAACCAATTTGCTTGAGGTTGACAGATAATATGTAGAAAAATAAAACATAAAAACAGCTTCATTTGTATCATTTACTAGGTCAGGCCGACTACTTTTTGACAGTCCCTCGTACAAACACAGAACAAGATATATCTGCCAATAGTAACGTGTTAATGTAGAATTTGGGATGTGCTCATGTGTGTCGTTATATTCGGAAGGGGCACGCATGGGCTAGTCCCCTAAGATCTCCGAAATTTGCTATGCAGATACGCGTCCTTTGGATTTGGGTATGCCAGAAACAAATTACTGAGTTTGAGTCCCAATTCGCCCCGATTATGTCCACGACGCTGTAAACCTCTGAGACAGTCATTACACCAGGTATACCTCCCACATTGAGCTGACAAGACTGTTCAAAGTGGCTTTAACCCTGACCCCTTCACTTCCTCATTAAGTAAGATGAAAACAGTCAGACAGACAGACATTTTATTCAGTAACAGTCCTCCGGCCCAAAATACACTCATGACAATATGTAACACATCAGCGCATTTTACAGTATTTGCAATTTGTGTTTCTTGTTTACATGGTATAAGAATAAACATACATTTATTATCATATCCATATGTTCACCTTGTTGAATAGATATAAAATTTATAATTGTGTGAAGTTACTAAAATATTTCTTAATATATTTATTCCTGATACTAGAGTATGCCTAACACATAAAATACATGCCATTAGATGAAACAAACAAACAGTAATTGCACTAATGCTGTATCTTTAGAATTTCCATGCCACCTGTGAGTATTTTTATCAAATCAACACGAGACGCTTCTGACGTCATTCTTCTTTAAGGGAAGCTGACGTTCAAACACCTTCATTGTAATATGAATCTCCACTGAGACTGGGGTGACGTTATTGCAGTATAGGCGTATACATAACTTTTGGTTCGTGGTCTCTTTACTAAGTTTGATGATTAGTTCCGCTTTTGTGAGGTGTTTATTGTATGTGCTGTGTTACAGAACAGATTCGGGAGGTGAACAATCTTCACTTCGAAGGCTTCACTGTTGAGGCTTGTCGGCGGTATGGATTTGATCTGAACCATGGTCACAATATTGACTTCATGATAATGGAGATAAAGAATACAGGTATGATTAGTATATATTTACAAAGAGCATGTTTCCGGCCAACAGAAAGTATACACTTGACCATGACAAATTCGATTTTACTTTTAAGACACAGTATATTTGGGATTACAATGTCTGAGTGAAGTACAGATTCTAGTTCTGTTTTAGGTTCCCCTGGAAGCCAGGGTGGCTGAGTGGGTTAGATCTCTGACTTTGTGTACTGTCGATTAGGTGCCCGAGTATGGGTTCCAATCCAAGATATGACTCAATCTAAAACAGTGCCAGAATATTTACTTTACTGAGAAAGTTCAATCCAAAACATAACATTTGACCACTTTCTAAATGGTGTTTTGTATTCATAACAGACATTGTCAAATTGTACTATGACTGAAAACAGTCACTGTAAACTGAAGGTCCGGAGACAACTGTGACACCGATTGTACGTACATCACCATCGAAAAGTGTTCTTGTTTGTTTAAGTTTTGCCATAATCAAACATCGGAGTGTTCTGGCAGTTTGTGTATACTTGCTGTGATATGTGCCAGCACTAGCGCTAACGTTGTGTAGATGAAATTACCACTGTTTTATACGCTGTCACCTATACCATCTACAGTGATGAGATATTCAAACGCTCGTACATCCCGGGTGGTAAAACCATTCCGTAGAAATCTGGAAATTCATCGGCAGTATGGCATATCGACTTTGTTATCATTTTTGTTTGGTAATTATGCAATTACTGTTTTATTTCTGAGTCCCTGTTACACACGGAACCAGACGCCCAGAGTAGTGTTTTGCACCTCAAAACATAAATTTAAATCGTCAACAATGTTTGTACTTACCAGTTTAAAATAATTGAACTTCTGAAATCGACATAAGCTAGGTCATGGTACAACATCCACTTTGCGCAGAACTTCACTTGTTGGCTCTTATTTTTAGCAATATTTCATTCAATGATATACCAGTGGTGAATATAATGTTTAAAGTGATTTACATTTAGTGTTGTTTTCAAACTTTAAATTTATAGATAAAGAGTTTAGCTAAAAGAAGCAGTAGGTCAAACACAACATCAGTAGATATATTTTCCTCCAGACCAAACAGAATAAGTTGATCAAGGCCATCAAGGCCAAATTTTATATATGGGAACTTTTCAAAGAAATATACTTCATAGTGATTGCCAGAAGCATTGAACTTGTTTACACTCCCTAACTAAGTGGATTATTGTTTCAACTACACATTCACAATAACAACGTAGAATACAAACAGTTAAATTAATTCTAAATAACAATGAATTGGTTGATAAGATCCTGTGAATAAGTCTGAACTGGAACCATCTCAACTTGGTATCTGAAATAGTCTCAAATGGTTTTACAAATATGTTTTCCCAGTCTAAATCAGACAGGGACTTTGTTATTTTGTGATGAGCCAACTGTAGATCTAAGACAATTAATGTTTCAGGTGGCTATGGCATCCATTGTTCTGGTGACTGTCGCTATGTGACCGTGTCTTCGTGTGAGATACATCACACCTGTGGAGGAATTGCAATTACAGGTAAGTTATAATAAAGGTGTGTTCTTGATGCCACTTTGTGTATTTCCATGTACGATATATCAATGTGTCAACGACATATAGCAATACTACAAATATGAATGATCCCATATAATAACCATTATGTTAATAACATTGGAAACATTCTGACGAATTTAAGATTCCAGAACAAACTATCCGTCATATTTGCCTGGCAGCTCACATACAGTTAATTAACCGGACAGCCTCCGTGGTTTTGTGATGGAGCTTCGTAGATATGCAAGGCAAATTCGGTAGTCCGAGACCTGGCCCTGTCACACAAAAATACGTTAAACAGATGATACTTGTTGAAACCATGCCTGTCGCTCGGCTCTTAATACATAATACAAGTTGACAGTCTGTATACTGCGGGGCATCCATGCTTGACTGGATCATGGTATCTCAGCGTGCTATCACTATAAGTCCGGGTGTCCTCCCATTACGCAGACAGGCAGTTCGCAGACACCTTAAAACAACAACATTTACGGTTCAATGAACATATTAGCTACTACCTGTTACCTACACATTATAATGCAATAGTCCAAATAGAAACATAAGAATAAAACTGGTTAAAATGTGAAATAACATTCCCTTGGTGGTTATACCCCCCTTAGCTATTAGAAATTGCGACTCTGTTACATTATTTAAATATTATACCCACGTGAAAGTAAAATGAGCACCTAAATATTATTCATATGGAATAAGGAAGTTAAATGTTTTGCACACAAGATTAAGATATATGATGAGTACACTTAATTATGATTTATTTAGAATAAATATAAAAAAGTTGCACCGAATCCATTTTTTGAATGAATAAAATATGTTTCAATCAATAAACACAATCAAACCTCTCAGTGACAAACCTGGGTTTTTTTTTTCGATAGTAATTGATAGTAAAAACAATTTTTAGAAGAGAAGACAGATTATCATTTAACCACAATAAAGTAACTTACCTGTTTCAGGCTCACCCTACTCTACTCACTAGACAGTGCACTGTTCCATTATACCCGTAGGTGTTACCCTAATTAACCTTCTAGTTCAATGTCTGTCAATCGACTGTCTGTCAAATAGGAGATAACCTAAATCCGTACAGTAAAATGAGCCACACACACACGCCCATACATACCGCTAAATGAATACACAAGATCCAGGTTAGAATTGGTCTTCAGCAATCCATGCTGTCGTAAGCCTAATGGGATCAGGCGGCCAGGCTCGCTGATTTGGTTAATAATCGTTATCTCACTTTCGTAGCTCGATGCCCATATTGTCCATCACCGGAGTGTTTGGTCCAGCCTCGATTATCCTTCGACCGCCACTACCTATCTGGAAAATGTTTACAATGAGGTATTAGACAAAAAATATCCAAAGCTAAATAATCCCGAACGCGGCGTTGTACCACATTTCATCCCACGCCATGATATAACCGTCATTCAAATAAACTAATGAACGATGTATGATATTATTTTGAATAGGTGGTGATCGAAAGACACTATCTCCATCTGGCAATCTGATACAGGACAACCATATCTGGCAGTATGCACGTGTCGGGGGCGTCGGCTACAACGCCATCAGTTCCGGAGGAGTGGGGATATCCATGCGCTACAACCACATCCACGACGGCCAGAACACGGGCATCTATGGGGGGTAACACAAATGTTAGTTCACTTATTTTCCTGTGCAGTCATTGTTTTCAATTTTAGAGAGTGATGCATACATAGAAATACTACACATCTGGAAATATAATAAGTATGTATATTCATACCTAGAAAAATTAATATTGACGTGTCTATGTGAAATTGAATGAGTGAGTGTGGTTCTACTCCCTTTTCAGCAATATTGCAGGAATATCTGGTATCGAGAGATACCAGAAATGGGCTTCACATATTTTATTAGGGATGGATTCAAAATTAGTTGCGGAATAAAAAATACGGTAAACTGTCTCTAAAGGTGCTCTGATATTAGCTGTTAATTGTCTTTCATAGATAGCTTTCTGCTCTTAACATGTCGGCCATAATCAATAATTCAATCCACAGTAAACTACGGTTATTCTGAACTGGTAGGGTCCACATTTGTCATCCCCCTGCATGATCCTTGGTATTCTTTCATGAAATTGTGCACACACAGAAACCAGGTTCTCAACTGCTGTCTTTAAAATGTGTATTTTTGTCTTTTGACTTTGATATTGTTGTGTATCTGACATCGAAGCACAAAGTTACCAAACCTAATTCCATGTTATTGTTTTGATAGCTCAATGACTACTACTTTACATGGACGGACAGATTAGACGAAAATTCTCTCATCAGGTTGGGATTTATGTAACTGTCAGATGATGTGGGTTCTTTCCAAATTGTGTGTGTGTGTGCGCGTGTGTGTGTGCGTGTGTCTCATTGTAACCGTAGTACATTACACCCTTTCCGGGAAAAATATCAAGTTCGTTTTATCCGTAATTATTTTGTTTACCCTGGCAAGTACGATGGATTTGCATATAAGATTGCGCATCAAACACGTGACACGTCGACATATGGCTGCAATAACGCCAACGTGACGTTCATTTTCGACTCACTCATCTCATACATGCCGTTTGGTTGTACTTGTTGCAGGGCAATGATCACGTGATGGAATACAACCATGTACATCACGTTTGTGTCAACTCCAGTGACTGTGGGGCCATACACGCCGGGAGAGACTGGACAATGGTGTGTGGGATATACTTCTTCCGTAGATAACGTGCAAGTTCGGTCCAATAACAACACTTGTGTCTCACACCAGTTTCTGTCTGAAGGTGTGGTGCTGTACTGGTGAAAACATTTGTTCATGAAACTGATGAAATGCAACCGATCATTGATCAGTTATATTGCCAGAAGATTAGCAAGAGCAGCATAGATGGATACTGTACTCCAGACCCCATGAGATTAAACACAGAAGTTATAATTTCTTGTAAAGTTTGTTACTTTTGAAGTTTAGGGTCTTGATTTGCAGAAGAAGAGTTTTTGGTTATAATGTCACTACAGCCAGTTTCTTTGCAATAACATTTTTTGTTGTTAAATAGAACACTCAGTCTTGTCTATCCTACGAAGCATATTGCCTCAAGTGTAGAGGGCAAAATAGCCTCGGAATAATTAGAATGGTCCACTGAAAATCAGTGATGACATGTGTTCCCGAAACAGTAGAGTATGCCCTGCTCCACCGGTAGTACTCATCATCAACATAAATTGCCCTAATAAGGAAGTATCTAGCCCCACCGTACTATTGCCAAGCGACTATAAACAAACCAGACAATCAAGTGATTAATGGCGCTCAACTGTCAGTAAGTTCAGTAATCAGTTATTGGGTGGAAGTGGTAACAAAATGAATATCCGATTCAATTTCTGACCAGTGGGGAACCAAAGCTTTCATCCCTCAAAACTTCTTTGAGTGGCATTTGGAAACTGCTATGAGCATTTGGATTGAACTGCTATGAGGCTACGTTTTGATGTAGACGCTAACACCTTTATGAGACGTATTGATGTAGACGCTAACACCTTTATGACATGCTTGATAACGATGTAAGCGTTTACACCGAAACGTAGCGTCCATTGCAATAGAGAAGTTGTCAACCCATGCTTAATAACGATGTTAGCGTTTACACCGAAACGTAGCGTCCATTGCAATAAAGAAGTTGTCAACCCATAAAATGTGTTCCTCTCCTATAATGTAGCACAAATTTAATCTGAAACCACGCCTGACATCCTCCTCTCCCTGAATCATCAGCGAGGCAACGTCATCCGCTACAACCACATCCACCACACTCTGAGATACGTCCCTGGAGCCCAGGTCCGAGGCATCATGCTGGACGACGAGTACTCCAGCGTCAACATAGAACACAACGTCTTCTACGATGTAAGTCCAAGTGACAAAGTAACAGAATTATAGTACGAAAACCTAATGCTGACACTTTTGTGGCTTAAATATTTTTAGAAATTAAAATGTTTCTAATTGTTTCAAACTTATTATTAGAAAACTTTCAACTATTTCTAGTTTGCTTCAATTATTTTCTCGCTCCCTCGTATATTTTGTCCTTGTTTCAAATTTACAAACACATTTTGAAATTCAAACAACAACGAATTTTGCTGAAATAATTTACGCCAGAAATATGGCAGCATTAGGCTTTCATATTTAAAACAATCTGATATTTCTGTTCGCTGAATTTTATCATATTTGGGTGCGAATATTATATCAATTTAATCTAATTTTCCACAGAACGAGGTCCACACCAACATCGGCGGTGGTCGTGACAACATCATCCGCTACAACGTCTTCTACAACGCCACTGGCGACTCCATACAAGTTGATGGCAGGGGATTGCGCAATATGCACGAAGCAGATGTGATGCAGCATCTCAAGGTAAGCAGGGGTACTTCTCCACACATCTCAGCTATGTCACACACAATATTTTGACCTTTAAAACTATTTCGTGGCTTGTTAGTCTGGAGGACTGGTGCCAAGGAATAGTTATACATCCAGCTTATAGAGTGAGTATGGTTTTAATTTAACAATATTTCATCAATATTAGGGCAGGGACACTTCAAATGGGCTTCACAGGATTCCGCATGTGTTACGAAATCAAAAACAGTAAACTGTCGAATCCTGATCGAACGAACGCTTTAACCACTAGTCTACGCCACCGGCCCTCAATTTATAGATGCACATAAAATACGAGAGGTTAACGTTATCCAACTGATTTATCTATATATCAATACGTTTAGGTACATTCACTGTTTTTGGATTTATGACACGTGGATTACATGATACATGGATAACATGACACGTGTTACATGATACATGGATAATAGGCACGAGGATTACATGATACATGGATAACATGACACGTGGATTACATGATACATGGATAACATGACACGTGGATTACATGACACATGGATAACATGACACGTGGATTACATGGATAACATGACACGTGGATTACATGGATAACATCACACGTGGATTACATGATACATGGATAACATGACACGTGGAATACATGATACATGGATAACATGACACGTGGATTACATGATACATGTATAACATGACACTTGGATTACATGACACATACATAACATGACACATGGATAACATAATACATGGATTACCTGACACGTGGATTACATGACACATGGATAACATGACACGTGGATAACGTGATACATGGATAACCTGACACGTGGATTACGTGCTACATGGATAACATGACACTTGGATTACATGACACATGAGAACATGACACGTGGATAACATGATACATGGATACCATGACACGTGGATAACATGACACGTGGATTACATGATACATGGATAACATGACACGTGAATTACATGATACATGGATAACATGATACGTGGATAACGTGATACATGATAACATTACACGTGGATAACATGACACATGGATTACACGATACATGGATAACATGACACGTTGATTACGTGATACATGGATAACATGACACGTGGGTAAGGTGATACATGGATAACATGACACGTTGATAACGTGATACATGGATAACATGACTTGAGGATTACACGATACATGGATAACATGACACGTGGATTACGCGATACATGGATAACGTGACACGTGGATTACGTGATACACAGATAACATGACACGTGGATTACGTGATACATGGATAACATGACACGTGGAATACATCATACATGATACGTGGATTACATGATACATGGATAACATGACACGTGGATTACGTGATACATGGATAACATGACACGTGGATTACATGGATAACACGACAAGTGGATTACCTGATACATGGATAAGATGACACATAGATTACATGATACATGGATAACATGACACGTGGATTACGTTATACATGGATAACATGACACGTGGAGTACATGGATAACATGACACGCGGATTACATGGATAACATGACACGTCGATTACATGACACATGGATAACATGACATGTGGATAACATAATACATGGATAACATGACACGTGTTACATGATACATGGATAGCATCACGTGGATAAAATGGATAACATGACATGTGGATTACATGGATAACATGACACGTGGATTACGTGATACATGGATAACATGACACGTGGATAACGTTATACATTGATAACATGACACGTGGATTACATGACACATGGATAACATGACACGTTGATTACATGGATAACATGACACATGGATAACATGACATGTGGATTACATGATACATGGATAACATGACACGTGTTACATGATACAAGGATAACATGATACGTGGATTACATGATACATGAATAACATGACACGTAGATTACATGATACATGGATAACATGACACGTGGATTACATGGATAACATGACACATGGATTACATGGATAACATGACACGTGGATTACATGATATATGGATAACAGGGATAACGGTATAACAATGTAAGACGAAGCCAATACTTACAGCACTATGTAGTACACGTAATGGATAATGTGTTAAACAGTTTCCAGTGCATAAAAGAATAAAGTGGCCAAACATTTCGGGCATGTAGACTTAGTTGTATTTTCTTTATAGAACTGTTAATAACTTCAACAGAGATAGAAAGCCTTTGCTTGATTGGCAGTTGGTTCCAGAGTTTTGGTGTTCCGTAGCGTAATAATCAGAGTGAGTGAGTGAGGTTAGTTTTACGCCGCTTTTAGCAATATTCCTGCAAAATTACGGCGGGGGACACCAGAAATGGGCTTCACACATTGTACCCATGTGGGGAATCGAACCCGGGTCTACTTCGTTAGGCTACCCCACTGCCTCGTAATAATCAGAGACCAAACGATTTGAATTTTCAAAGCTGGATTGTCAATAAATATTTCTCTGCAGTTCTTAGAGTGAATGAGTATGCTTTTACGCCGCGTATAGCAATGTTTCCAGCAGTATCACGGCGGGGATACCAGAAATGGGATTCACACATTGTACCCATGTGAGGAATCGAACCGGGGCATTTGGCGTGACGAGCAAATCACAAGGCAGATCATAGAGCTCTGCATGGGTTTGTTTTGTGACAAGCTCATCGAGGTAGCCTGGGGCACTCTCGTGGTAACATTCGTACTCTTGGATTTTATATGTAAAGCTTGGAGTACAGGTTTTAAGTGGACTCGAGGTGACACTTTGCTGACAATACGAGCTGCAGTGTTTTGGACACGTTGAAGTTTAGAAAATGGCATTTCTGGCAATGCATACAATAGTCTATCTTGGAAAGCACTAGGGATGTAACTAAAATGGGCTGCTGCAGTTGTTAGGTAGTTTTTAATAATGTTTCTCAAATGGAAATAACATGACTTGCAAATTTTATCAATGTGGCAATTGAGAGACACTCATGGGTCCAATTGACGTCCAGGACTCTGCACTTTTTATAAATGATGGAGTTACATATTTCCATGTAAACAATAACGTAAATACTTCCTATTTCCGTTACGACGAAGGATGAATGCTTGTTTTGGTGTTTTGATGTTACGCAGGGGTGTTGTTCACCTGGTGTTGGATTAACATACCATAGTCATATTGGAAGTATTCTTCTCACTTGCTCGTCAACCAATGCAAATACTCTATTCCAGGCTGTGCCTTACACCAGCCCCCTGTGGACCAGCAGATACCCTAAACTGTCGAACATGTCGAACCCTCTTCCACCAGCAGGTATGGCCGTGTGTGTACTTGATGTCCATCCACAGAGACATTTCTTAAGCATTATCTGACCATTACGTTATGAAATTATTGTCAGCACGCGGGTCAAAACATGAGCTCATAACCTTCTGGCATTTCTTGTAACAGCTTAAGGGATAACAAATGAGCTCATTATCTGAAACTGTACCTGAAAATAGTTGACTTGGCTTTGCTTGTGTTTGTGAAGAGTGTCAATATTGTACAACGTTTTCACTACATAAACACATTCTTAAAATACAGTTTGAATCGTACAATAGACAATGGCAGGAACAAACATTAATGATGTTATCTTATAGTGTTGATTTCAATTCAAAACTTATATATGGTATTCTTTGCTCGTTACAAGCAAAATATTATTTAAAAAACAATTATCTGTCAGATGGGTACAAATGTCAATAATACTCAAGTCCAACTCTTGTTTGAAAGCAGGTGTTGTGTCTAATGATAAAATAGTTCTCACTTTGTTACATACATTGAAAGACAATTATGTATAACTAGGTTTTTTAAAACCTTTAAACATAATCATGTCATATCATCACATTCACCTTTATGTTTCAGGCAACGAAATATCAAATAACATATTTTACAACGTACATGGTGTCCCTAGCATATACTACTCTCAAGAGAGGCATAGAAAAACCAGAGTACTTCAACGTCAGGAATAACCACAAGGTAATTGTGGTGCACTGAGAAATATACCATTCGACTTAGTGCCCATACCTGCACAATGGAGTACAAGACTAAGGTGATGCCTGTGAAATCCTGGTTAGAATTGGTCTTCAGCAACCAATGCTTGTAAGAGGGGGTTGATCAGGCTCTCTGGCTTGGTTGACACATGTCATCGTATCCCAGTTGCGTAGATCGATGTTCATGATGTCAATCACTGGATTGTCTGGCCCAGACTCAATTCTTTACATACCTCCGTCATATGGAGCATTACTGAGTGCGACATTAAACAACAAACAAACAAACAAACAGAAAGTTATTTGACGGTTGTTATTTATGCTTATTTGTTTATTTTCATGGGCGCTTGCGATGCAGTGGTTACATGTAGATTTTGCATTTAAGGTTTTGGTGGACGTAACCGTCAATAAACAGATATTGAAAGACAATTATTTGTGGGGGTAGCGTTATTGTATGGCGTGGGCAAAGCAACCGTCGACTCGTTTGACAATACGAAACCTGAACAGTAACACGATAACATCGTTCTGTGTCTTGCAATACCTGCTCCATTTTCAAAGTCCCCGTGGTTTAGCGTTTCGACATGACAACGCTAAAGCAAATCTGTTCGAAGTAATGTGAATGTGATGTTGCCCTGATCCTCTCCAGATCTTTCCACCCGTGAAGATCCGGGTACGAATTGGTCTTCCGCAACCCACGCTTGTCGTGGGAGGCGATCGGATGGTCAGGCTCACTGACTTGGTTGACATATGTCATCGTATGCCAACGGCGTAGACGGACGCTCATGCTGTTCATCACTGGATTGTCTGGTCCAGACTCGATTAGTTACATACCGGCGCCATATAGCTGGAATATTGCTGAGTGCGGCATAAAGCTAAAGGCACTAACTCCAGATCGTTTCATTGCATAGTGTTTGTTGGATGAAATGAATCGATGTCGTAAAAGTCTTAGAGTTTCATGAGCACAAGAAAACCAGCGTGACTCGCTTATTCACTTACTATCAACTCGTCCTCAAAGTTTGGTTGGTTCCGTGTGACAAAGATGCCGCGCTTCCATCCAAAGTCGCTGGAAACACACAAATTGACGATTTAATCAGAATCACATTTAACTGTTCTGAGTCGCGTTTTCTTCAAAAGGCATCCTTTTTCATCTTTAGTCTCCTGACGATCCTAGTACATAAGGATTTAGATGACGGGTGCTTTCCAGTGTAACTAAACAGTAATTCATAGAGCAGAAAACAATCTTAGGAGGAAACCATCATTATATTTTACTTCACAGTCTGTGTCACCTACTGACTTCTGGTCACGTGATGATGGCGACTTCCGGGTCAGATGTCACGCACAAGAGTGGGCCAATGCCATCAATTTCCCCCAGCCTCCCGATGTAAACCACGTGGGACCACGCTACCCAACAGGACCCTGTACATGCAACAACGTCAGTTTTGTTCTACTGTCCGGGTTAGAACTGGTCTCCAGCAACCCATGCTTGTTGTAAAAGGCCACTAACCGGATCATATGTTATCGTATCAGTTTATCTTACATACTTGATTGCACCCGGGAAGATACGGGTTAGAATTGGTCATCAGCAACCCATCCCAGCTTGTCGAAAGAGGCGATTAATGGAATCTGGTGGTCAGGCTCGCTGACTTGGTTGACACATATATCCCAACAGCGTAGATCGATGCTCATGCTGTTGATCACTGGGTTGTCTGGTAAAGATTCGATTATTTACAGACCGCCGCCACACAGCTAGAATACTGTCGTGTGCAGCGGTAAACAACAAACAAACAAAACAACTACTCTCTTGCGATATTATTTGTTTGCCAATATATATATTTTCTTGCGATATGTTATTTGTTGGTCAGTGACCATTATATATTAGTAATAGTAATAGTCCGCTTATATGGCGCTCATATCCAGGATAATGCCTGCTTTAAAATTGGTCAGGTCATTGGAACTATTACCGATACTTCTTCAACTCCTGGGGATATTTACCCTGTAACTTATTTACCCTGTTGTGAATATTAGTCTCGGTGGGAGAGTATTTTTGTTTTAAGTGACGATAGTTTATGCCTCCTCTGTTTATTACGCCATGACATGTCAGCCGCGAATAGGATGAAAACTAATGGTGCGGCGTAAAGCAACATTCATGATTCATTTTGCAGCGTTAAAATGCATTCACGTAGTTTTTTGTCCATGTATTCTAAAATATATATTTCTTTTGTATCATGAAGCGGAATACGAATATAAACCTCAAAATCATCAAAGCCGCGTTATATTCCCTGACCCTATACAGTCGAACAACTCGTTTGAATTCCGAGGTATAATGTATGCATGTATTTTATGCCCGTTGTAAGGGTTCCATGAAATGGATCAAGTTTCAGATCCGTGTCATTGATTGTAATCGTACACCGATGGTGTATGACTTGTTACTCATTGTTAGAGTCCCTGGTTCATCTTGTCCAAACTACAGTCCGTTTGAGTCAGAAACGGACCGATGAATTGCCAATTTTATCATTGTACAAAATTGCCACATAAATATAAAAAGTAGACATGTTTATCATTTACTAATAACCAACAGCTTTCTTATGTTAGAAAATTTTCCGGACTCCACCAAAAAAGTTCTTTAAGAAACTATCACTAAAATTTTGACATAGTTCACTATTTGTTACGAGGGAGGAGTGCAGAGAAAGGGACAGCCAGGTGTGCGAGAAAGGATGGAGACGACACAGCACAGGCTTATGAATCAATAACTTGGTGGGCACAAACACCTGGCTGTCCCTTTCTCTGCACTTCTCCCTCGTAACAAATAGTGAACTATGTCAAAATTTTAATGATAGTTTCTTAAAGAACTTTTTTGGTGGAGTCCGGAAAATTTTCTAATATAAGAAAGCTGTTGGGTATTAGTAAATGATAAACATGTGTACTATTCTAATTATGTGGCAATTTTGTACAATGATAAAATTTGCAATTCATCGGTCCGTTTCTGACTCAAACGGACTGTAGAATACTGTCAAGGGCCAATGTGATATGTCTGGGCCATGAACACCATTCATTCACACACTCTTTACAGCCAGACAGACTCACAAGTCCCCACCATAACCTGTTGCATGTGCCGGAACCGTTGCCCCAGCAACGAAGACACCACACTGCCGCTGTTACAGGTCATTGGCTCCCTCCCTCTGCAAGCAGTTTGCGTTCTGCTGTTTATTTTGTTGACAGTTACATAGACAGATTCTTTAATACAAATGCATAAAATCGGTGATTTACAATGTGATTAGGTTTATGTCTGACAAACATCCACTTGCACAACAACTGCCGCTGTTACACGCATTTCATGCCAAACCCTGGGTGATATTGCTGGAATATTGCTAAAAGTGGCGTAAAACCATACTTTAAACGCGTTCCATTTGGGTGTAGATAAGGATGTCAATAAGAGGGTTGAGTCTATTCAGGTTGCTGGCTGATCATCACTGGCTGCCCCTCCACCCCTGTCAGCGGCACACAGACGTTCAGCATGAGCAGACTGGGGTGAATAGGAGAACTGTCTGAAGAGGGCAGCAAAGGTGGAGGTACTGTGGCTCACCTAACAAGGAAACTGTGACTGCAGTCTTCGGTCCAACAGGTTTGATCACTACTTCAAAGATGTTTTACACCCATCAGGCAACCTATGAGACCATCTCAAGGCTATGTATAAAAAAATGTTTTATGCCCATCAGGCAACTGGAGCATCTCAAGGCCTGGATGAACAGTTTACCGCCTATCAGGCAACCAATAAAAACATCTCAAGGCTAGGTTTTAAAATCTAACGTCTCTAAGCGTCCGGCTTCAATTGAAATTTAGAGACTATCAATTCGGTCTAACATTCATCTAATTTCCAAACACAGTGCGTTTATCTCCATTCTACCAAAACCGATTTAAAATCGAACTTCTTCGTTCCGCGGAAGACACTGCGTAATCCGGCATGGGACGAGAGGCGCATTGAACTCGTCTGTGAAGGGAGTGGTAGGTGCTGTTCGTATTTTTTAGCATTGCCACATTAAAAATATCTTGTCCAAAGAAAACAAACTACTGTTTATTCAATGCAATAATGTGATCCCTAAGAGCTTGGTTTATATAATCCCAACTTCACAATACTGAAACCAGCCTATTGTTTTGCGTGCCTTTTTACTCTACCCCCTGGCCACACTGTAATGGAATCGTCTGACCTACTTATTTTCTTGGAAGTAGTTGTTGACAGTGCAACAGTTTGAAATGGCGGACGAGCCAGTGTAAACTTACATTTTGAGAAAGGTTGGCATTTTAAGTGACAGTGGAAAAATACTTGACCGACTGTCGAATGTGAACCCTGCAGAATCGAAGAATAGATCCTTTTCTGATAGGGCTGGGACGAATACTCCGGTACTCGAATCCGGGACGGGTACAGCTGGAAACGAGTCCTATTTCAAGGAATCGAGTACCCGGAAAGGGAGAGAACTCTGTAATGACACGGGCAGGTAACGCTAACAATATGGACGACACATGCTAAGTTGAGTGTTTTGGCTCATTTTGAACTAGATGCAGATGGCAAGAGAACCAAATGCCGACTCTGTGGTACCATGGCAATCTACTGCGGATGCAGTACAAGTTCAGTGCACAAACATCTTGAACTAAAACACACAAAAAAAATATAAACGTGTTCTTTACATTGTGTAACTGTGTTCATTGCTTATCAAGTTAGTTCATTTCAGGTTTTCTATAATAATCTCTGTCAAATCGTGATTGAATATTCAGAAAGTTGACAGAAGCTATGTATTCCTAACATTTCCGGGAACTCGATTCCGATTCGGGTAAGTGCATGCGGGTACTCGATTCCATTTTTTCCTACTCGCCCCAGCCCTATTTTCTGATCGACCTATGACCTGTAACCCATCAAAGACTGTTAATGTTTATGACCGGCGAGTGTCGATCATGATTTCACGTACGTGCCTCCATGCGACGAAAGAGTGACAGTGCTGCTTTGTGTACATGCCACTAACCTGGAATTCCTTGGAATACTGTTTTCATCATTTGGGACTGGATTATGGCCAAGCTTTTTTCAGAGCTTACAAACATAGATCACCAGCAGTGACAGCCTTGCAGGAAGCTGACAGAAAGCAGATTTCTGGTGGTTCAATTGTTGACATGTATTTTTTTAACGATGCAACGGGACATGATGGAGTATGAGTGGCATAAATATGGTGTTTTGCCTGACAGTTATCTTGCGAATTTCCCATTCTAAACGGAAACAAATATACCACTTACCAGGTAGGCAAATGTTTACTGACGTTTTGCTGCGAATTTTGTATAGATGGGGATGTTAAAAGCTTTCTGATTTATAAGTTAGATATTGTTTGTTTATGTTTGGGGCTGTGCATTGTAAATATTTTTATAATACAAGGTAATGTGATCGTGAGGTTCCCTAAATAATTGTGGAGGAAATATCATATAATTGTATTTTTAGAGTTTAATAAATGTTTTATAAGAATTTCAATCACGTCTGTTGTGTTGATATTGGCCATGTTGGTGGCCAAGGTGAAGTAGTGCGGCAGTGTTGTATACGTGCGCAGTGAAGCGGTCATGAAATCAGACGCATTCTCAATCCAGGATTGATGGTGTCTAATTTTCTTTGATTGTCCAATCAAATTTTAGTATTTCACGTAGTCATGGTAGAATAAGATACAGGCAGAGTTACGATCACATCAGCACTAAGATCGGTTTTGCACTAGCACACTTGGTCTGAATTCGTCACCAATAACACGTTTTCCACAGACACACAATACAGCACAAAATGATAACTGATAAATTTTGATAATCCTGTTTTGGCATCTGTTGGTGTGAACATTGAAGTAGGAGTATATTACAGTGAAAACGTTGAACGTGTTCCAGGCGCCATGACTGTTGCTGGAAAACACTGTTACTTCGCCGACTACGGGTGTGTCAACCACGGCGGCGCCCACCCTGGGAGGCTGGAGGTTGATGGCTACGGGGAGACTCACGGAGGACTCACAGACGAGGAGAAGTGTCTGGGCAGAGCTACTGCCCAGTGGACGTGGTGTGGGGCTGACCCTGCCCACCCCTACACAAGCATCTATGGCCCAACAGGTACGTCGGTTGGTACAGTGCGTGAATGAGCGACTGGATTGGGCGTGGAACCACTGGCCATAGAAGTTCAGTCTAATAACGACGGGGTAAGGTTGTTTTGGGAGTGTCGCCACACGTAGCAAAGACTATAGATGTATATGATATACATTAATAAGGATTGGTAACTGTGCTCACATGTCCAGGACCATAGCCAAAGCGAACTTGTGATTCGAAGCCGATCCACACACAACTAAGGGTCACAACTCCGTACAGTGTAATTCGTTGTCTTTATTTGATGGTATATCTGCTTGGGAATGGGAAAACAGTACCCAAAGTGTGACCTGTAAGAACAAACATTTACCTTCAAGGCAATGGGTGCATGCTATGGTATGGCAGGTACAGTCATATATAAGAATCTCATCTTAATGCATTTACTGTATGGTAGCTATGATAGTGTAATTCATAATCGTAGGTCAGATGAGGTATCATCAAGTTATAACCTTTCAGCGGCTTCTATTTACTGTATGAAAACTTTACTGAAAGGTGCGACCAGACATGTAGGGGGCGGATGTTGGATCAAGATCTTGACCTGTCCTTCAGACAACAAACTGACTGGCTTCTTCTACGATGCATGGGGAGCCACCAACCTTGACACAGGTAAGACAGTGAGTGAGTTAGTGAGTGAGTCACCAACCTTGACACAGGTGAGTGAGTGAGTTAGTGATAAACAATACTTCAGCTAAAACGTGACGAGAGTGAACAGAGAACACAGACCTACTTAGTCCATGTCCCCCACAGCAGTAACCCTGCCATGTGAAAACCAGGCAATCAAATGATTGATGGACGTAATTATAGAACGTCAGTCCAAAATAATACCCAATCTTGAGTATCCTCCGAAACAAATTCGTTTGTGTAAAGGATAAAATACTAAAAATATACGAATGGATCACTGAAAATTAGTAATGAAGTAATTATTGCGGGAATATTGCTAAAAGCGGCGTGAAATAAAATTTGCTCACTCACTATTTCAATTATGTAAAGGCCGACGTCCATGGCTAGAGGAGAAGAGCCGGAGTCTTTAAACTTAGGAAGCATTCATATGTTGCACATATGTGTAAAATCGCGTCCTTACTCCAAAACTGTGTGTCAACAGTTTTGACTAATAATAAGCAACGTGATTTGGAAAACTACCTCTTTTATTCCAGATCATGACTCCAGCGAGTGCTTGGCCAGGGCTGACTACTTCTGGCAACATTGTGGGTCACATCGAGACCACCCCATCACAGCCTACTACAAACCCAAGGCAATCTCTAGGACTTCGCCCTGAGAAAATGTATGAATCGAAAATATAAACATTTCTGAATATTTATTTACGATAATCTTATTAACAAGTGTGATCTACCGTCCTTTGTCGTGTGTTAAATTCAAAGTTAACATTTTGAAAGATTCCACAAAGAGGAAAAACAAAAGAACATACTTGGTATGGGACACACGCTTTCTGTAAAACCGAACATTTGATCAGTGGCAACTTATTGCAAACAGTACATTACTGGACACGCATAAACTATGAAAAAACAACACCTAAGTAACAGTTGTTTAACAAGAAGTTCAGTTAAGGACAACTTGTTTACCAACAAGGCTGACATAATGCACACTCACTCACTCACCCACACGTTCTATCGAATTCATTTACAACAAGCAAATTCTCCTGGGCCTGTCCCAGTTTGTTTGCTTGTTGTTTAACGCCACACTCAGCAACACTCCAGTGAGCCTGACCACCCAATACCGTTAAATCCCCAAATCCCGAAAAAAAACCAGGCCATTGAAATGTCAATATTACGTTCTTTAACGTCCGATACATTCTGTTATAAAAGGCACATTTTATATTCAAATGTTGTCCGCAAGGGGTATAGACAAATAGTCGGCCATTTTGTTTTTTTATGATGCACCTGGTCTATTCTTCAAACTCCTGTGTGACTTCATTATATAGAGGTGTGTGTGTGTGTGTGTGTGTGTGTGTGTGTGTGTGTGTGTGTGTGTGTGTGTGTGTGTGTGTGTGTGTGTGTGTGTGTGTGTGTGTGTGTGTGTGTGACCTTGTACTTACCTTATGACGGAGAATACCATTCTGGAATTTATGACATCATTCTGCAGGTAAAGATTATTCTAGAAGCTAGGACCTCATGACACAGGTGTGTGACCTTATACTGACCTCATGATGCAGTGGCATAGGCTATTCTAGGAGATGTGACATGACATCACATGAGTTCTAGTTTCTGTCTACAGTATTTGGACGCACACAATAGAATGTGTATGATGTAGTAAGTATTCTTGATATGTAGTGTATAAATTGGGCACGACAACACACATCGGAAGACATTTCTATCACAAATACATGATTCTTATTTACAAAAAAACCCACTGCCAGCCAGCTACTTCACGGTTGAGAGAATATTTATAGATGCTTGAAAGGGTATTGTGTTGACTGCTCAGTGGTGCCCTCATGAAAAAAACATATTAATTTAGAGCATTTCAATAGCAAATCGATAAAGAAGCACCGCGTGATAAACATGTAGGGTGGCTTCAGTGAATTTGTATACACGTTTGAACACGCTTGTTCCGACAGATTGAATGGGGTGGTGTTATTTGAATCATACACTGCATACCATTTCGCATTTCACTCTCTGAGACATTACAGAAACGACATTACGACTTTGTCTTGACATACCACAGTAAAAGAACTAAATGCTGTTGCGAGTCAAAGGCATACTACTCGATAAATCTACACGCCAGTTTGACGTACTTCCTACAAGAGGGAAAATTAGGGATTCGTTAGGTCATGTTTCATCCATCTGGTCAAAAAACAATTGTCAATATCAAGGTATATCATGTTATAATTATTTTACATGTGAATACGTATGTGTCTGACAACTGTCACGTCCCATGTGTTCCAACTGTTTAACTGTCACCTCTAAAGTTTTAAATTTTGAATGATAAACCATTGCATCCAATATATTAATACTGAACACTATTTTCACATTCCTCTATCTAAAACTCTTTTCGATAAGGTTGTTGAACAGAAGCAGATAACGACAGTTTTTTCCTTGAGTAGGGTCTTTGCTGCAATACAAATTATGGAACAAGGCTTTCACTGAGAGATTACGATGATGACTTCCTTCAGTAAAAAGATCTGGCAGTAGGCATTAAGTCGTCCAGGACGACAACGTTCACAACACTGGGGTCCAGAAACTCATCCTTTTCGAGATCAGAAGCAATGCATTGATGAAATTCAACATAGGAGAAACAGAGGTTTGAATAGTGTTATGCAGTGACTGCCATCGTTTGTAGAGACATATAATACGTTCAGGATAAGGTTTAATGTTCATCCTCTCTAGAAGCTGCTTCACTAAGTACATTTTCCTACAGGAAGTTGGCCCTGAGACGATCATGGTGAATGGAAGTAGTAGCCTAAATTCTTCCAAAGACAGGATAGCACTTTCTGATGAATGTGGTTGCAGCTGGTTTAGACGGTGTGCAGATGTGAGAAGAATGTTTGGTGCCGGCTGTTTCTGCCAAGTCAGCATTGACGAAGGAGGAGGGCAAAGAGGAGCAGGAGTAGGAGGGCCATGTGGAGGAGGAGGAGTAGAGGGTTGTTGATGTTTCTGTCTTCTATGTCTCAACATATTGTATGTTCTGGAAAAAGTCTGATAGCACAGGGGACACGTTGTTGACTACATGGTGGTTCGAGTTTAAATGATGATGAACCTGTCTACATCTTTTATCTAAAAAATTGTCTCTGATTCTTGTGCGCTTCTGGGAGGACCTTCTTTTCCGGCTTTAGATGCCTCTTTTATACCCTGCTCCCGCTTTTCTGGAGTTCCACCACTTGCTGGGTGGGTGAGACAAAGTTGATTTTAGGTTCTTTATAAGAAGAAGGCTGTCAGTGTTCTTCTTGTTTCTTTCATTCTTCCAAGATTGTAGGCCAATCAGGATCATAGTTCCAGCATTCTATCCACGGACAGCATGCCTGTTCTTTGACCACCTCTTATATAACGGAATAATAGGGATCAGGTTGACCTTTGGCTTGTAACATATAATATCGAGTCCATTTTTCAATTGCAGATTATTCATGATGAGTGGCTTTAGGTTCAGTGTCACTGTCACTGGTCCATGAATAAATGATACTCGATTGCCCTCGCGGCCTTTTGCATTGATTTCCACTGTCTTAATTGACCTTTGACTTTCACAGCTAGGTATAACTTCTTGGATGTGACTGACTAAACCTAAGATGGGTCTATGTATACCAAAACTACTAAGCCAATGCTCTATTTAACAACCAGGCATTTTGAATGGCCTCATCTCTAAGCGCATTGACAAACTGTGGTTTCAAAACAAATGCTACGACAGGCAGGTAACATGGGCGAAAAGACTGGCGAAAATACCATCTGTAGTCCGTAGGGGCTGACCTAATATTTGTAACACCGCTAGATAGTTATTTCTATCATTTTCCCTCAGGAAACGATGTCTTTCATATCGAGTCACTGGTAATCGTCCCTTTAATAACCTATTGATAATACCATTGACAGCAACAATCTGTTCTTTATTCATTTCTAAGATGTCTTGTTGAATCTCCTCAACGCCTTGAAACATTAACATGATCCTTAAAACCTCGTACGAAGCAATTTGCAATAATTCTAGAAAACTATCTGTCGTGGTTTGGATCTCAATAATATTAATATTTGAGCAAACCTCTATTTATACATCGACGAAAGACTATACATAGACAACCAAATATACTCTAATATTGATTTATTACCAATAATACTTTCACAAATGAAAATATACAGTATTTTACAATGAACATCACACTCTTAGCTACAAATATAATACACATGACTACCCCAGAGGGCCACCTCTTTCTGAGGTACTCCCATCAGGGCCAAATACGGACAGTGAGTGAGTTGAGTTTTACGCCACATTCAGCAATATTCAGGCTATATGACGACGGTTTGTAAATAATGGAGTCTGGACCAGACAATCCAGTAATCAACAGCATGAGCATCTGCGCAATTGGGAACCGATGACATGTGTCAACCAAGTCAGTGAGCCTGACCACCCAATCCCGTTAGTCGCTTCTTATGACAAGCATGGGTTACTGAAGGCCAATATTCCAACCCGGACCTTCAAGGGTACGAATACGGACAGTCTGGTGTCCATTTTTCATGTTCATGATCTACTTCCCAGTTCTTCAGAACGAGACCACATTGAAAACATTGGCAAACATCCCCTCTGATTAAGTACACAAATCCTTCCTGGGCCATTTGTTTCATCTGCACAGGTCAAGACCGAAAGGATTCAAAACCTTATTTGAGGTTTCATCAGAGGATGTCTATACACAAGTCTTGGTGTCCACATGGATCCATGATATCCTCGGGAGAGCAACAGAAGCACGTCTGCACAGTTCAGTGTCTAACCCAAGTATGAGCTTCACCAGTTCAGGTGATCATTAGGATTACAAGTGCAACAACGCAGAAAGTCCATTTGTCCCTAATGGAAATGACCTTCATCATAAAACATACACAGGACCAAAACCCGGATAGTACACCATTGAAATATACGTAAATAAAGTAGGAAATACATGCTATGACCGGATTTACGTATGTTTCCAGAGATTTCCCAACTTTGGGTATATATTTCATACAAATCTATACCTTTGAAACATATGCTCATCGTGCATTTCCGTATGCGCAAGCACCTCGTTCATGTATGCCATGACCGGATTGTCAGGTATTTCCAAACGTGAATTGCAAAACAGATACCCCAGTAAATACATGATCATACAGTATTTCCAGTGCATTCCTTTGAATTTCAATGGGTGCTGAAATTTCCGATTTCGTTCTAGGTTTACTCGGGTTGGAAACATGTAAATTTACTTAGGTGGGGAAACGTATGTAAATTTAGAAATTTGCAAATGTTTACACACCCTAGATATGTATGTATCATATCGGATATCAGAGGTATGTAAATGAACGGTTCATACATCGTCATGTTACCTGTGCTCAAGCAAGATGATGATATGTTTCCATCATCTGAATTACTTGGTTCATGGAATTTTATTTTCACACATTTTAGTACGTTTGAAATCAACGTTCACGTGACCTCATTATTCTTATCACCAAACAGCCTGACAAAGAAAGCAGTATTACGCAAGCTAACTCGCCTTATCAAGCTGCATTCGCTCTTGCTACCAGTATCAGTTAGGCCTTGTCTGTGGTGTTGGCAAATCTTGTGAGGTGCTTGTTTCGGGGGATTAAAAGGTTCAGTGCAGATGAGGTGCCTCTTTGTCCTCTCAAGTGTCCCTAGCAGTCCCAA